GGGGTTGGGGGGGGGGAAAGGATTATTTGCGCATGGCGCCGGAGGTGGGCAGAATAACAGGAGGTGGACGAATGGGCATTAACTGGTGCTCGAGGTTCTCGTAGGTCCGTGAGGGCACTGTGTTAGCAGGAGCACCGATATTTGAAGGAGGTGGGAGGGAGTTTTCTTTCACCCTCATCTCTGTGCAGCTCAGACGCAATTGAGTCAGGTCAACTAGAATGGGAGGGAGGGGAGGAGTGAATATATTAAATTATGTTGATTATAATGATACCAGTATATTAGTTCCATGGAGCATGCAGATGGCGTGGTGAGCGATAATTCAATCCAATTGAAACCAAACTACTGCCAGCTATGTTAGTAGTGGTAGACTAGCCTCCACTGCATCGCGTTATTTCATTGTAACACCAGAAATCTAATTCAGTCAATAATGCTCCAAAGAAAAGTTAGAACCCAATTTAAGAGAGGAAAGGTACGATACCCATGCTATTAAGAGTCCAACTTTCATTAGATCCTGCTCGTTCATATAATTACTTTCCTTGAGTAACATAAATAGCATTGGAACTATTACTATACAATAGGCTGTTGTAAACCACAACTATTAGGTGGTGTTAACCATATTGTGAGTAATAGAAAGTCGGAATAAACATGAGCGAAAAACAAATGTGCGAAATTACGTGAGGCCCGGGGGGGGGGTGCAATAGACTTACCTCCACGTGGTACACCCTGGGCAACGTATACTTATACGACAAAAAAAGTCTATAAATCGGCAGTTGATTTCTAACTTCAAGCTACCATGACCCCACTGTATCCCATATTCGACCACTACCACAGTACTCACCTCTCTTTTTTCTATCTTTGTGTCTGTCTGTCGCTTTTACATCTGTGAATCACTCTTCTCGACTTTTTTCTCATTTTGATGTTCTTCCCTTGTGTGAAGCCTAAAGTCAACTAAAGGGCTAATGATAACCTATCAAAACGCCTGCCATTTAAAATAAATAAATACGTGAGGCCGGGACCTGTGATATGGCCAAACCACAATTCCAATATAGCAGGAAGGTTGCTGCCACAACCTATTTAAATATATATTTCAAGTGTCTAACATAAAGGAGGATATAATCGAAATCACATTGATATAAATCATAGTAATACTTTTGTTAGTCACTGCACGCACACACGCACACGCACACACACACACACACACACACACACACACACACAGACTTCAATAGATTAGTGCCTCATGGAAATCGCTATCCCCAGCTAGTTACCTTTAAAGGCCCCCATTTGACTGCAAAAACAAAAACAAAGCGTGAGCAAAATGAATGGGAAATGAAGCAGAAACCTGATTGTTCTTTATCTCTCTCTCTCCCTCTCTTTTGATTCGCAACTCGGAACTTACGTGGTTTGATAGCGCCCTGTGGCAAGCCACTGCCACAGTAGAGTTCAATGATTTGGAGGATTTTGGCGTCTCTCTCATTACGTTGAGTGATTTCCTCTACGAAAGAAAAGAAAAGCGGTTAAAGTGTGAAAATCAGATCAATAGTACAGTAATATGAGAGATGAAAGAGTCGGCAATTTCGTGCTGCAAGCAATCACAAAGATGCACCAAGACACATACAAAGAGGAGACGCATTCATGAAGATGACATGCATCCAAATGTTATAGTGGAAATATTATTTCACATCACTGTCGCCTTTTAAAAGATGGTTCTGTTAGTTGCGTCTACGGGGATTTAAGTTAAAACAAGATACAAACAGCCAGAGGATGGGGGGGGGAGATAGACCGAGCTCTAAATAACTTGGACGCAATCCAAACCATCCATCTGGGAGTCAACTAATGGAGTTCGATTTGTAAACTTAGCTCATGAGAACAAAGACATCGCATTGTTTCACTTATTCAAGCAAAGTACGAGCCTTGCTTACTCCATGACCTTGGTTCCGATGGCACATTTTCATGAATAAAAAACTTGTAAATTTTGTAGACTGACGTTAATAATCCTTTCAAAAACAAACTGAGCAAATATCGATTCCATTTATCTTCTAGTATGCATCTTGAGGCAGATAAGATAGTGCCATTCAATTACTCAGCCCAACGTGTGATTGTAAAGTACACTCATTAATCACACTGATTCGAAGTTGTATTTATGAAGAAACAGCCCGTTTGCACACTGTTATTTGAACCCTATTCTACCACCTACAGGTGAAAATAAAATTATGCAGCTTGTGCCATAGGACGTGACATGGTGTCTGTCAAAGTTACTTATGCCAATATATATTTCATCAGAACAGATATCTATTCGAGACATCTTTTTTCCCGTGAAAGATAATCGATAATATAAACTGATTTATTCCAAACAATTAGGAGGTTATCAGCTGGAGAAACTTTCCGAAACCGAAAACTAGCGGAAAAATGGAATTTATATGATGCGCACTAACGGTAACTTCCAAGTTGCGCTAGACGCAGTCTCCCATGGATGAGACGCCTATTCTACCACTCCTCTAATATAACCATTCTATTTAGTGAATTTGCACAAGCGAGATTCTAAGCCTGGGTCACTGACTTTGTAGACGAACACGTTAACAGAAAGAGGTTCATATGTGATCAAAATAAGCTTTGAAGGAGACAAAAAACAAACAGCAAGATATATGTTGACCTGAAGTGTCTAAAAGTGAAATGGATGAAATTGAGAGACATTAGGAGCAAACACCCTAGAATTAGCAAGCCAATGACGTGCAAAGGAGGGAATTAAATTAAATTATCAAAAAAGCGGGTAAATGTAGCATATGAGATATGGGGAGAAAATATGCCATGTAGCTAATGTTGTTGCATATTTACGAAAATGTCCAGTCGAGCGCAGAATATCATCCACATTAATAGCACTCTTCTGACGATCTGTTTTATTGTGCCAAAAAAGAGAGAAAATAAACACAACATTTAACACTTTGCACATTTCAAGCAAATGTATACAACAACAAGATAAGATATCGGCGTTTATCATAAATGCGTAAGAAAAAACAAATTATGTATTTCGTCAAACTAATTGATCCCTAATCAATTAACCGATCTATATTCAACAACCCATTGTTTGCGCTGAAAAAGGTTTGGTCTATATTTTTGAACCCTTGTTATCAAATGCTGCAAAATGATCTACAAAGTGCCTCGTTTCAGCTGACTATTTCAATAATATTTGATAAATCAATACCATATCTAGATACAGATTATATTTATTGCGCCATGGTACTAAAGATTCAACTCTAACGCAGATCAAATGTTTGTAATTATCCCCGTCTCTCAAATCTGTCTGATGAGCATTCTTCCATAACCAACAAACCTACTTTTATTAATTAAGTAGCATAGTATTAGTATTCCCTACCGGTTCGTTTACGACGCATGACTTTGGCTGCAACTCCTTTTCCGCCACTTTCGCCAACCATTCCGCCTGATCGACCTGGTGAAGCCGGTCTCGGACCCCGATTTGTAGCCGCCGGAGTCCGAATACCGGAACGAGAGTTCGCATCTCCTCCACCAGAGAGGAGAGAGGCGTAGGTCTGCAGTGGAGCTCGATCCAAACGAAGATGAGTAAGAACCTCGTCGCCTTGCTGTTGTGTTAAATTCGGAGAAAGGGGAATGCGCTGAAACGCGCTTTCGGTAAGTAAGGACTCCTGGCGTTTGGATAGCGTAAGTATATCCTCTGAGAGGAAAAAGATACATAATAAGATTGAAAAGAGTATAATGTGAATGAACGCAGGAGTTTTAGGAAACATTGACTATTTTTTCATTGCACTTAATGGAGGGACTGGTACGATCTATTCCAAGTGCATTAAATCATTACTAAGATCATTGGATAATAAGACGATTAATCAATACTTGCGTATTCAATTAAATAATGAAAATACACCAATTATCTTAAAAGAAAATGAACCTATGAGATACAGATCTATCTTCTTCTCGGCCTGTTTATTCAATTTAAACGCTTAATTAAAACAAAACTAAAGTTGTACGACTTATTTATGATTCACAGTTTGCATGACCTTGTTTAGACAACATGGCCATCGTTCAAATCTCCATCAACTAAGTAGATTCCATCATCATCATCATGAATTCATAGTCCCTTCAGATGAAACGAGTGCTTATCCGCATGTGTTTTGAAATAAATTGAAGTTGGACTTATCACTGACTTTGACCTCTGCAGCCGATTATTCATGCTCTTTTAGTTCCCCTTTTGCAAAACCAGCTTTGTGTACTTTTAAAACGTACTACACGTAAGTAAATCTCAATAACTTATCAGCTCGTACCCACGAGTGGTGCTTTCACCATTTCCACCTAATACCAAAAGTTTTTAAGCAAAATTTTAACGACCTCATCTATCAATTGCCCAAAAATCCTGGCTCGTCCTATTGGACGGTATCATGTCCAAAAACCGCCAAACCAATTTGACATTAAGAAAGAATTGCGTGGTATATAAAGAGAACAACTAACCAGGCCACTTGACAAGAGCCCTGGACTTTGCTTCATGAGGGAGAAACCTGCATCCAGGGAGATTGGTGAGGTCAGTGACAGCCATGGTATTGGTTTTCGGGGGTTCTTGAAGCTCAATATCACCACCTGGCATTGTAGCCAGTTCCTCACCTGCCTCAGGACCGCAAAGGGGACCCGAATGGGAAGGTCGTAGGGCGAATGTATGGTTGGCTCCGCAGTTTGGAGCACAACTGTCGTCGTGACTGCCGCCACCCCCACCTGCGGCTGAACGGCAACTGCCAGATCGACGGCGCATAGTTGGCTCAGGAGGAATATTGTTGTTCGTTGGAGTGCGTCCCACGCTGCGTTGACGAAGTACTGCGTTGCCGTCATTTGTCTGAAAAGTGTATGCGGATTAAATAAGCCCCTTCAAACATACCATACCAGTTTCTACTAACCCAAACGCTCACCATCATTAAAAAGATGAGAGTTGACCAATGAACTAATTGTTTAGGGAAGTAAGCATTTAAACTAGCCTATTTTCCCCAGTTTAAATAAACACAAGATGGACTGCAAGAATTGTTAATACCGCATATGGGGGCTCGGATTGCTCGGCAAAAGCTCATCAGTCTAGTACCCCCCGAACCGCTTGGAAGAAACCCCTTAGCATTATTAATCTAATACATATATTTAGACCGTAAAAAGTACATTTCAACTTACAATTTATGCAAATCCCATTTGTGCCATATCATTAAGCCGCTTTATCATCGATTCGTTCTGCTTATTCTGACCTAGCTATGCTACCGTTTTGGTAGCACAGTTGGGTCAAAGTGTACGTCTGTCATATTGTAGAGCATGAGTTCGATTCATAGCAGGAGACAATCGCACTAATTAAATCAAGTTAGCCCAGAGGTGACAGAATTAGTCTCCAACTGGTATGCCAAAAAATATGTCACTCTCTACTCAAAAGAGATGCATTAGAAAATGAGTCCGGGAATTTGGAATAATTAAAACAATTCATTAAGTCTAGACATCGTAAATTTGAAATATAACATCTCAGATTTAAAAAAACGTATTCGCGCACTTCCCCCAGTGTTCTAAACGCAGGGTATGATGGAGCTGGCAATGAGGCGGCAAAAGATGACTGGGTGTTGAACTATACCAGATTATTCTAGCAGCTTAATACCGAGGCATCCAGAAGCTGAAGAAAGCTCCAATCTTGTTCAGAGACGAAGTAAGCAAGCGGCACTAAATAGCATTCACCAATGTGAAGACTAAATACTTTTATGCCGCAAAAATCCCATTCCACATCTTTCAACGTAATTCGCCCTTTATTAAACCCCCCCCCCCACTCCCTTTGACGCATCTCCCTCTAACCTTCAAGTAATCCATCCAACACTTGTTATGCTTCTTGTACTTCCATACCACAATATTAGTGTCCGTCATTGCCATCAGCAATCTCCACACTCTCACACTCACTCGGTCTGCTATCTTCAGCAATTACAATTCAAGAAAAGCGCCTCTGTGCAATAACAAAAAATCGAAAGTAATTGTGGCTTTAACAAAGAAAAATAAACGTTCGAGGTGGCTTGACTTGAAGGTTCAAGCTATGCTGGATTTGGTTGAGCAAAATTACCGTAGTCTTTTTCCGCGAATCAGCACTCCCCAATGAAGCACTCCTGCAAGGCTGGAAAAAAGAAGACAAATAAAAATGTCTCTTTTTTACTCGCGCACCGCAAAAAAAGACAATCAGCTGAGCAGAATCGAGGTGCGTTTTATGGTTAAACCAGAATAATAAACTGCAAAGCGCGTTAGTGAAGGCGGGTTGATTATGCACATCGTCGCGAGTCGGGAAATGTTGTTTCGTGCAGTTAATTGCAAATAAGTTAACCAATGTCGTCTAATCAAATTTCGGAGAAATCACCTCAACTGCAAATGAGCCCGTCATTTTGAAAGATAGTTTATATAATATTCAAAATTGGAGTGAGATATAGATTTATCTCCAAATGGTGCACCCTGGACAACGTATACTCATACGGCTAAAAGTCTGTCAACCGGCAGTTGGCTTCAGATTTCAAACTACCATGACCCCACTGTATGTCATATTCCACCACCTCCACTGTACACATCTTACCTTTCCTCTGCTTTTGTGTCTGTCTGCCCCCTTTACATCCGTGAATCCCTCTTCTGTTCCCCCTCTCCACTGTTTGTGGCTTTGAGGCTCTCCCTCCCCATCCTCCACCCCTCTGTGAAGCCTGAAGTCAACTAAAGTGCTAATGATGATTATCATAAAGCCTGTCATTTAGTATAAACATTCAAAATTCGTAACATGAGGGGGCTTCCTAAGATGCTAAGGTGGATCAAATCAACTCGACTCCCAACAGATGACATCTTTGAGATTGCCTAACCTCGATATTAATGGATAGATGGTGGTTATGTGGTCAGGAAGTGGTTAAGGAGATTGGGGCGGGAAAGCCAGAGTGTAATAGATTCTTGCAATGTGGCATATTAGGCGGATCACACACCAGACAGAGCAAAAACACTTTCTTAAGAAGCATGAAAAATGCCAGTTCCCAATTTCTGCAAAGCCAATCTATCTCTCCCAGAATCGACCAATGAGAAATGGGAAGTGACTGATAACCAATTAGGCACTTCTGAATGGGGGTCAGTTTTAGCACAGAACACGGCACAGGTTATCGCTCTTTGTGTGGTTGTTAGCAAATGTGGGGTGTTACCTTTCGATGACGGAATTGTTTCTGCTTTAGTTCCCACTAAAATACAAGGTGGCAATGTACGTTAGACATTTGAACCGACTCGACATTCATCAAATGAATACACTTGTGGGGAAGTTTTGGGACATTTATCCTGATAACTTCCGCGTTCAGTTTTCTTGTCCCGCGCCAAAGCATAACAAAATTGGCAGCTTTAGAAAGCGACTCAACCACTCTTAAAATGCTTTTCAAAAGAACTAACGAATTCAGAAAGAAATAAAGAAATAAAGATAAATAAAATTCGACGCTTGGGTTTACCCGTTTCGGACACAAAGTTGCCCTCGTCTATACATCGAAACGCGCGAGGTTAATAAAAGGTGAGGAGCAAAAATTTATTAGAGGAAGAACACGAGTATGCTCGATATGAAGAAAAAATTTAACTAAAATCTTGAAACCAATTCCCAGTAAAACTATGTTAAAAAGGGAGGGGTGTGCGATAGACTTACCTCCACGTGGTGCACCCTGGACAACGTATACTCATACGGCAAAACAGTTGACTTCTCATTTCAAACTACCATGGCCCGACTGCTTGTCATATTCGACCCCCTTTCACAGTACTCATCTTACCTTTTTCTCTACCTTTGTGTCTGTCTGCCTCTTTTAAATCTGTAAATCGCTCTTCTGATCCCCACCCCCGACTTTCTGCTGCTTTGATGAACCTTCCTTCTGTGAAGCCCGAAGTCAGCTAAATGGCCAATGATAGCTATCATAACCCCTGCCATTTGAAATAAATAAATAGATGTTAAAAAGGGAAATATTGGCCAAAACTATTCCATCGCAAAAAAAAGAAAACTTGAAAGTAGTTCGGATTTTTAAATTTAAATTGAAGGGGATGAAATGTTTGTGTGGGGAAAAATCGATTAATAATTGCGTGTGCTTCAGGATTTATATTGGCAAATCATTAAATTAAACCATTAAATTCTACGGAGTCAAAAAGAATTTACATTTCGGGCAGTTTTAAGATGCCCGAAGCCTGGTGATGGCGTCTGTCGGCACTTATTCCAGATGAAGGAATAGCGATGGAAGCGTCACAAACCACCTAATCAAAATCGTAGGGCATTACATTCGCCCTATGGCAAATGACTTGATGAAATTCCAAATCAGACGCTACAATGAACTTGAATGTCACTGACCTTAGCAGTCAGTTCTCTAAGGTGTGGATTATGGAGGTCAAAAAAACAATGTGACGATAACACCAAACAATGACCTCATTATGAAAGAGAAGTCCCATCCAATGAGAAATTTGATGAATCACAAATAATAAAATGAAACACCACACAAATAAGACTATATCGCGATGTCCAAACACCGGAAAGTCTGAATTGAAAAGTAGGAAAATAGAGCACAATTAATGGAAGGGGGTGGTGTTAAGAAAAGCCAAAAACGTCTGCCAGTGATTCTCAAGGCAAAGTGCAACGCCGTTTCGAGATGAATAGAGTGGAAAGTGGGCAAACAACGTCCCCATTTTCTCTTTAGCAGAAAAGCCCCAGTGATCGTCCATCCACGAGTCAGCATTTCGTAAGAGAGCAAACTCTCGAAAGCAAACAAGTTGGAAAAGAAGAGAGTAAAGATGTTGTTAATGGGAGCGCGAGTCATTAATACTTCCTACAAGATGACGCTGATGATGATAAAAGCAAGAATGTTGCACTATTATCAAGCACCAGGTAGACAGAAAAAAACTGCATTCATTAATTACTAAAGTACCGTCTCATTCACTGATTCCTTAAAAACCTTGCTTTGTCTATTTCCATATAAGTGGTGCACAGGTGCACAAGATGACAGCTGGGAAAAGGAACAGCAAAATTCCCACTCTCGTCATCTCATCAGATGGGATCCTGTAATATTCCGCTTAATGGCAATCATTCTGGTTAGAGACATGCACTCAAGGGAACCATTAAAGAGAAACGAATGGGGAACGAACGAGGGTAGTGCTCATACTAACCGTGGAGTTTCGGATGAATTCGGAGATGGTAGAGAAGAAGAGATCGCGGGTACACACTCCAGTGCACCAGAGGTGTAGGTTGTGCTCTTCAGGTTGCGCTCCAGCACCTTAATTTAAAAAATCGATATCCATTAGTATTAATGTGCTAATTCGGTTGGCTGTCACATAAAAGATTGGGGTGTTTGTTGGGGCCTTCAGAACATCAAAGGGGAGAGATTAGCAGCCCTCAGGCAAATAATCAGTGTTCTAGGTTCTGACAAAAACCCCTTACCCCCACCAACCTCCCCCTCCCCTCTCATGGCTACTATCAATCTGTTAGATTATCCAAGTAATCCAATGGATATATTGAATCTTTGACCCCTAACTTTCCAGACGTATTTGTTGGCCGTTACACCATTGCTGCATAGGCATTCGTTAGCCATCAGTGGAAGGCCAATTCAATTGAACAACGCTATTTTACTACTAGAAGCGTTTTATGCGCAACAGGACTCGTTGCTAAGAATATGCATTCAAAATTAATGCTTCAATTGATGCAAAGCAGTGGCGCGTATAGGGAAAAGGGTGAGAGAAAAGATACACTGACTTGTTTCATGGCATCAACTATCTACAGTTCAGATCAATTCCATTAACCTCCGTATTTAATTAAATACACTCTTGCAACCAATTAAATATCGAAAGAAAAGCTGGCAATTACCGATAATTTTGAGGCTCAGGACATTTTCATTCTGTGGTGAGGCAATTACCGCGACGTTTGAGATTGGAACATGCATCTGAAAGAGGATAGAAGAGGATAACTAATTATATTCGCTTGCAAAAAATAAACAAACAATGATTATTAAAGATATCAGGAGGTATATTCACCCTAAACTGATAGACACGAGGTGCAGAAAGTGAGAGGACGATGAGGAAGTTGGAATAGAGGAGGATAGTGGCCTGGGGTTTGGTGTTGTCGATGACGAAGTGGTTTTCCGCGTCGAGAACGCAAATGTTGGCTTTCAGAGTCAGAGTAGGATCACCGATCTGAAGACGAGTCTAAAGAAAACAAAGGGGAGGCATAATAAAGCTCCTCAAACTCACCTTGAACGAAAGGTATGAAAGAAAGCCCCTCGAACTATCTTATCTCTTCCAGGCAAGGAAATGCTTTATCCATACTTGGTGAGGATTTTAAGTATGTTGTCTGTAACCAACTCCACCTCGCTTTGAAAGCATTTAGGAGGATAATACAGATATACAAACAGAGTTACACTCTCTTTACTCGTGAATAAACTCAGCCAAATAATTAAACAAATGGATCAGCAATTCTTGCAGCGATTCACCAATGCTAGAACATCTCGATGATAAAATCTTGGCAAGAACAAACTGTATTAACGATGAAATGCATTCAGCTTAAATATACCCTGATAATAACACTCCTTTAATAAATAAGGAACCATCACTTCATCAGCAATGATGAGTGCAATCGAAGAAGATTCAGTGAATTTACGCAAATTGAAATTAACATAATTAAACAGACGTGTGAAAAATTTTGCAAGATTCAAAAAGACTAAGTTATAATATTTTGGCATAGCCCTATGAATATTTTTTTCAATTACTAGAGAAAATGCCAATTCCTCAATAGCAAAATATAGTTTAAACACCTATTGACTAACCTGATCAGGAAGACCACGAATGTCTGATGAGAGGACTTCAATATCCACCTCTCGTAGACTTCGTAGAAGGTTGCTACGCGCCAAAATTTCTGAATAGACCTGCACAGCCTTGCAGATTGCTGCTCTATCTGGATGTGGGTCCTAGAAATCGAGAAAAACCAACACTTTGGTAAATGTTATATCAGCTGGCTTATGTAGTAAATAGAGGGGTGTGAGATAGACTTATATCTACGTGGCGCACCCTGGGAAACGTATACTCATATGGCAAAAATATCAAGACACCGGTAGTCGACTTCTGACTTCAAACTACCAAGTCCTAACTGTATGTCATATTTCACCACTCTCACAGTACTCACCTCACCTTTTCTCTGCCTTTGTGTCTATCTGTCTCTTTTACATCCTGCCCCCCTCCCTCTCGGCTTTTTTGTGACCTTGTCTGTTTCTCCTCTCAGTGAAGCCCGAAGTAAATTAAAGGGCAAATGATGACCATCATAAAGCCTGCAATTTGAGATGCATGAATAAATAAATAGAAATAAATAAATAAATAAATAGATAAATTAGTTGACATGGGGCACTATTTATTTTAACGAAATTACTTCGAGACAGAATGGAGTAGGATTACTGGAGAAAAGAATCCCCCCCCCCACCCCCCAAGGTTTGATTTGTCAGCTATCAATCAATGTTATGGTAAAATAAACTCGGCCAAAAGAAAACTAAAAAACCTAAGCAAATCTAGAGCTAGAATTGACCAGTACCAAAAGAAAGTATTGCTAAGGACGGAAAAAGCTAATGGGATTCAATCCCCAAATCTAACAGATCAGGCTTATAATCACAATTTAGGCATAAAAACTCCTTGAAAAAATCTCACCTCGTAGTACCGTTCAGTCTCCTTCAAAAGAATAGAATATCTTGAGAGTCGATCGAAAACACATGCAAAAAGTGCCTTGGTTTTCGCCGAATACAATTCTTGACCTGCTGGCCCAACAGCTACTGGAATTGCGGTTACATTATCTTGTAAACCGAATTCAATGTAAGAGCATAAACGAGTATATTCCCCAGATAATTGGTCCATACTTTCTGCGAAGTCAAGGAATAACTTCCCAACAAACTTGGGATTCGAAAGTCTAAAGGTGGCAATAACAATTTAAATGTTCTTACGGTTTCATCTTCTCGAGAACTTTCACTATATTTTCATGAAGTCGGATGATCTGTGCCACCTTGTCTAAGAATGCTGATATTCTGGTCAAAAATGGACTAAAAAGAGGTTAGAAATGCTTGAAATGGGCTTACAACTTGGATAACGTTTCAGCAATTGGTTGCAAAAGCTTACTAAGTGCATTCAAATCAGATATCTGTTTTGATTCTCCTTCAAGAATGTGTTGAACAATCTCCTGCTGGAAGCTAAGTAAATGACTGGTGTCAGTTGACCGAGATGAAGAGACTAATTTCCGAACATAATTGCTGGGGAACCAGCCCTGTGTTCCATTTAACTCGCCATGCCACCACCCTCCCTCAATTTGTTTCAAAACTTTAATTATTTCTCCAGTTTTGAATGATAACTGTAGAGATGAAATAAAATAAAGCGTAATTAGAAACCTCATCAAAATGTTGTCGATCATAGTCAAATAATGCTTGTGCTTCCACTTTCTTTGTGGGCTCCATTAGTTTATTTGTAAGGAAATATAAAAATTAAGCACTGCGAAAAGAAAGATTCAACAGAAACGAGAACCAAGCCCAGTTAAAAGCCGAGCCATGACAAGGTTATCATTCGCCATTGCCCTTGCGTTTTATAAAATATTACATTTTGATCTACAAATGAAAAAA